GAATATTAGAGTTAGATTTAGAAAGCTACAAGGAAGGGAAAGAGTAGCACATTAAGAGCAAACAGCTGAAGGCTTCTGGAGCCTAGCCGTGATGGAAGGAGGGAGCTGGCCCTGGACCATTGGCAGCATAAGAGAGAACAGGAAACAATTGCAAAGAAGGACACAAAGCTGCGGGTAAGAATGATTAATGATCCTAAAGACAGGAACAAGTTTAAAAAAGCGAGCTTGGCAATGGGCAAGAACAGGTTGGGATTTAACAGAGTCAAGGTGGCACAGATCATTTTATATATGTGGAGTTTCCAATGAAGTCAAGAATCAGATTGCTGAAATACATGGATTTTTGTAGAGACAGATCTAGAATGAAGAATTTTGCACATCCTTAACAACACAGCTAATGATTTATTTCATTAGAATTCCTCTTCACCATGTGCATCACTTCAGTCATATACCACTGGGAGCAAAATGATATCTAAACAAACAAATTCATTATTATGTCGTTCAGTCAATAAAAGACTTTTGTCTAGTTCCCTAGATTTAACAAAGAAGCCTCTCTGGTGTCTTTACGCAGAATGTGTCTTCCTACTGTGAAGGAATCACCCTTCCAGGAGCATTAATTAAACATACTTCAGGTAAGCACTTATTTACATGTGGAAATTAAATACACAAGAAAATGAATTAATGTTATTATTAAAAATATTGACTTATAGGGCTAAAAGGAGAACTAATGCGTGAGTTCTCATGTCATGAAAATTAAAATGCATTTCATACAGATGTGTGCATTTTCACATCAAGACAAACTAATTTGAAATACAATTTAAATCACTGGTAATTCATCCTTTTAAAATCTGAAGTTGTTAGTGCATTTAATTATAATAAAAGTAAACCAAATCTAAATGTAGTTTAATTATCTCAAGGAAAAAAACCCGATAAGGCTAAATTTTTGTACTCTTTAAGCAGTAACACAAAACAAATAGTGCATTGCTCTGATATATCATCACATTTTATCAGTTGACATCCAGTGTATTTCTGATTATAAAAACATACCTGAAGTATAGTGTTTCAGTTACATGCAGGCCATGTACAGATGTTCACATTTTACTGGAAAAATCACCATTCTCCTGGTAGCATGAATGATGCATGCCCCCAGAGGCTGGGGGGGTACAGTGACCACCGTCAGTGACTACCCACAGATGCTGCCAGCAGCACTGGTGGCGGGCCAGCAGCGATCAGCGAAGGTGTAGGGGGCAGCTGCTTCTGCCCTTCCCATAGACTGGGAAGGAAGGGAGGAGCAGCTGCCAGCTGCTCCCCATCTTCTTCTCACACTGGAATTTCTGATGTGAAATGGGCAGGGGCTTTGCTGCACCACTCCCTCCACTTGGCTGCTGCAAATTCCCAAGAGTTCCTGGTGTTAGAAACAGGTAACGGCTCCTGGTGTGCGGGAGCCAAGCAGAAGAAACAGTGGGGCAAAGCTCCAGCCCAAACACAGGGAATGGTGCTGCCCCCTAACTGTTTCCCCTTGCCCCTCCCCCTGCACTACTTAATTGGGTAGTGGAGGTGTTGATTCATAAGTCAGCAGAGCTGGGAACTAAGCTTGGAAGGCTCTCCCCGGTGTAGTAGGGCAAAGTGCAGAGACCCAGGTGTGTGGAGTAGGTTGGGGTTTTGCCCTGGGGCTCAGTCCGTTCAACTCCCAGGCACTGGGACCCAAACAAAAGGGAGCGGCACTGTAAGCCCCTTTCCTGATTCTCACACTGGAATCAGTCCAAGGCTGGGAGGACTGGAGCAGCTCACATTTTTCCCAGACTGGGATGATGCCAGTCCTGGGAAGCCACAAAGAGCGGGGGAGAGGGGGGTGTTGCAGACTGAGCATCTATACTGCTCTCTCTCCTGGAATCACTTCTATGAATGTCTGTACATGGCCTTAATAATTAATAAAACAACTATTAAGAACACTTGAACCTCTTTTTCTGAACCTTCAATCTTAATCATTACTTTGCAAAAACAGATCCATTATTACTAAAAAATAATGTAGGTGTTATATATGCTGCTTGTTACAGTATTCTGGTTTTCTGAAAAAACAAACAAACAGGTTGCAGAGTGAACAGGCTAGGGACCTGAGGCTGCAGAGAGGGAGGCAGAAGCAGTGGGAGCACAGGTAGCAGATACAGGTTAGGGCCAGAACCAAAGCCACAGCAGCTGTCTGACCCCCTGCTGCCTCATACTCATATCCAAGACAAGGGTCTCTCCCATGTTAAATGGGGGAAAAAAACCTGCCTTCTATTTGAGTAAATAGGGTAAATCTTATTTGTAAACTTCTTAAATAGCATGTGTTGTATTCTAAGGATAAATCTCGCTTTGTCGGTGAAGATTACATATGCAAACAGACATAACTGGGCTCAACATGAAGAAATATGGTACAATATGAATCTTCTGTTAAGTTTATAGGTTGATTTGTTTGTGGTTTAGTATCCTTAACTGTATATGTATATTTGTCAACTGGCTGTATGTAATGTCAAGCTCTCCCCTTCCCCTAGTCTCTACTAAACTTATAGCATGTATGTTTAATGATTTATTTTGTAATACTCTGGTTTTGCTTCTTATTGTATATTACTTATTAGTTTATCAATTATTGTTTTTGTTGGTTTTATTTTCTTGTTATTATATGAAACTTAATATTTATTACAATTCCAAAAAACTTCTTAAATAATAAATTTAAAGCTTCAATAATTCAACAGAACAACTTTGGGAAGAATGCTATTTCCCTTTGTGCATCTCAATGGAAGTTTTCTAGTCATAAGTGCCACGAAGCCCACCACTAGATGCAGAAAGGAGAATACCATTTCACCCATAGATTACCAATAATAACACAAGTTGAGTGGAGTATCTGATAAAGACTTGCATAACAATAAAACTACTTTTCATCAATATCCACCTATGGCAACCCAGACAAATGGGTCTTCAGCAACAGTGTATGCAGATCAAAGTAAAACAAACTAAGGATTAATCTTCCAGAGGAAAGCTACTAGTGGAGGTCCTTGAGGATTTCTCTCAGGACCAAGTTTATTTAATATTGCCATTAATGGCCTAGGCACAGAAAGTAGGAAAGTGCTTATAAAAATTAGCTAATGATGAAAAGATGGGAGTCAGTTTAGAATCAATCCAGAATATCATAAAAGGAAGAACTGGGTGGCTTAATGGTGGAAGTCACAGAATAGTATGAAATGTAATAGCACTAATTAAAAGGTTGGGCACTTTGAAAGAGAGAACAAAAATTTTTGCTATAACCTGAGTGCTTATCACTTGGAAACAACAGAGGAGAGAGAGACCAGAATATGATACAGCAGGGGGCAGACAAAATACAGCCTGCCAGGCCATTCTATCTGGCCTGCAGGGCCCCTCCAAAAACCAATTATTACTGGCCCGTGGCTGCCCCTCTGAAAGCCAGCAAGAGGCCGACTTTCACAGGTTTCACGCTATTGGACTGGGCAAGCTCCATGCTTCCACCTCTGTGGGGCTCCTGGCACTCCAGCTGGGAGCCCCACGTGGAAGCACCAAGCACAATGGCACACGACTGGACAGCTGGTGAGTGTGAGCTCCTGCCTGCAGTGCCGGAAGCCCCACATTGAGGCACAGAGCCAGCCTGACCTGGCCCAGCCCTGCGGCATGCATGTGTGGGTTGCGACAGAACAAATGGCCAAAATGGGATGCTGAAATTCTTGGGAAGTCATTCTGATCGCTCGAAAAGAAAATCCTCCTAAGAATCTCCACGCAGGAGAGGCAATAGTTCTAATGCAAAGAACCCTATCTATTGAAGAAGATTCAGGACTTTATTTTTTTCACACAATATATATTCATGCCATACGAAAAATAATTTCAGAAACATGCACACAGTTCATTATACCAAATTAAGTTTTTAAAACAAAGAGTTCCATTTCATTAGCACCACCACTCCACATTAACAATGCCTAGGCTTGTCAGGATTTGATTTTTTAATCAATAAACATAGATTTCACCTGACACTCACAGACTGATGGACAACTAATTTCCATCAGTAAATCAAAATTTAAATAATGGAGTGTAAAAAAAAAATCCAGCACAGAGGTAAGGCAATCTGAGGTGCGCGCACACACTCACACTCTCTCTCCAAGAGCTGTGCTGGTAAGGTGGGGGGAGGGGGGGGGGGCTGTGCTGGTAAGGCTGTGCTGGGGGGAGTGGGGGGGAGGAGGGGCAGAGCTGGTAGCACTCAAGAGCCCAGTGCTGCCAGCCCCTTGCCCTTCCCAGGCCCCTGCCCTGGCTGGGACTTAACTCCTGTGGAGCCCGGTTCAGCTCAGCCTCCATGGGAGTTTGGCTCCTGCCCCAATCATGCAGGGACAAGGATGGCTGGGCTCTGCGGGAGGTTGGCCGCTGCATGATCAAGGTAGGGGCCAAACTCCCACAGAGGCTGGCCTGGACCGGGCTCCATACGAGTTTGGCCCCTGCCCTAGCTGGGAGCTGGGCAGAGTGAGAGACCAGTGGCACCAGGCTCCCAGGCACCACCAGCTCTGCCCCTCAAACCCCATCTCCCACTACAGCCTTACTGGCATGGACTGCAGCTCCTGCCGCATGTGTGCTCTGAACTGCAAGAGATACTGCCCTGTCTGCAAAATATATGCTTTATTGATTTACGGATATTTACTTTTTATATTACTAAATTGTCTGCCCCCCACATCCCTAATTTTGTGCAATCCTGAAAGTTTTAATTGATAAAAATTAAAATAAATATCGATTTTAGCCGTCAAAATGTTTTTAAAAATATTTTTTAAAATCTAATTCTGCCAAGCCTAACAATGCTCTAGGAAGGCCTAGGAATCCTTCTCATTTGACAGCAAACATATTTAAGCTTATGCATAACTTCATAGATATCCACTAGATGTAAATTACAATAAGTTGATTCTGAATACAGCTATGAGTTATTATTGAAAATGTGTTTTTTTTGCATGCAAATATGAAATATGAGAAAATACCTGTTAGTTAAATTACACCATTCACAGTATGGATCCTCTGCAGACAAACAATCTGGATGAGAAACATAATTACTGCAGTTTGCAACTTGTATTCTCCTCACCTAAAAAAAAAGAAAGCAGTATCATGCTGAATTATTTTAGTCCCTCTAAAAAGGAAGACTCAATGCTGTAAGAAACCCCACAAAAATGTTTATAGTTTGTCTTAAAAATTTTATGGCAATCTAAGATGGCTCCCTCAATCTTCACCTTGGCAAGTTTGTCTTCAGGTCCAAAATTTAAACTGTTTTGCAGAAGTGTTGTGTCAGCTACTCAATTTCTTTTTCCTGTTTTTATTTACATATGGACTTTTACACAAGACCCTGTTCCATCTATTTAGCTCTGCTGTGTTGCTTTCTCCCCCAGAGACCTGAGGAAGAATACTGTGGTATCTGAAAGCTTGTCTATGTCTATCCCAACCATGCAGTTTGTTCAAAAATCCCTGCTATACGCAGGAAACTCCCTTGAGTATGACTAAGTGTTTGATTCTATTGTTCCCATGTTATCATCAATGGTAATGACAGAAATGCTAGAGTAGTTTGGTGAATCAAGATGATGAATTTTCTAGTTCAAAATCAAAGTTTTCAAACGATGAAATGAATATGCACCTAAAATTGTGTAAAATAATGCATTTATTATAGGCATTTCAATGCATGTACCAGGTAAGTGCTCAAGGAAATGGATAAAAATGCATATAATTAACATATGCCTTTGAAATGTGCAAATAAAGGTTAGTGTTCATCAAGATATGCAAATGTGTCCATAATATTCCACATAGCCTTTTCAGATAAAAGAATATTAAATTATATTAAATGACTATTAAACAAAAAATTATTTATAATTTGCAGAAATCTTCCAGATTAGAAATATTTGGTTACAAATGACTTTTCTTTGTCTCTGCTCAATCTCTTATTATTTCTTTTTCCCCATCATGTACCACATAACCAAATTAATCTGACGGTCTCTATGATATTCCAGGGTCCAGATAAATGGGGTATTAGGCTTGCCAGCAGGCTTAAATATCTACACTCAACTTGAGAAATCTCATTTTATGGTCCATCCTGTTAAACCCCTAGAGAGGGTTTTGGAGCCATATTTATTCCTAAAGGTTGCTGTTCCTCCATAGTAATTTGTTCTTCCAACAAGATGAAAGAAAACCAAATTCTTGTGTGCGCAAGGATTTATATCTGTTCTTGTAGTAGTGAAATATTGCATCCAAAAAGTTCTATAAAATCAGCGGGTGTCCCTACTAACCTGTATTCATTTTGTTAAATTTTAGGGTAAAATAAATTATATTTTCAGTTGAGAAAAGATGTTATCAAAAGTAAAAAATATAGCCTACAGATGAAGTCCTGCCGCACTGAATGGGAATTTTAATGTGGACTTCAATAAGCAGGATTACAAACCCCTAACTCCAGTGAATCTAAGTCAATGCCACAGCCTGCAAAGCAGAACAGCAAATTTGTGAGATTATGGAGGGGCTCAAAGGAACCGTATTCCCACAGAGCCTATGAGCCCTCTTCATCAGTTGCTCTCCTCCAGTGTAGCACAAACACTCTGATCTCAAGACAGCCAGGGGTCTAAGCATGCATTTAACTTTAAGCACATGACTGGCATCTCAAAAGGACCACATAAAGGCCATGGACAGGCATTCATTTCTACTGCTGCTAGAAATCTTCTCAGTCTTCTCAAGAGGGAAAGTACAGGCATTACAACCTGCAGACATTCCCCTTCTCCTGGCTCCTCATGCCTTCCCCAGTCACCTCCTGAACATGAGAAGAGCCCAGCTGTGGGGAAATGCCCCTGATACCTTTCCTAGACCAAGATCCCCCTGGTCTGGGTAGTGGGCTGGGAAAGCTGCTCTGCTGCTACTGCTCTCCAAGTCTTCCCCGGACTAGGGGGACTCTGGTCTTGGGAAGGCTTGTGGGGGCAATGGCTGCTTCACTCCTCCCCTGATCACAGGAATGCACAGGGCAAGCTTCTGCTTGACTCCTCCCACAGGAGAGTTAAGCATACAGGCATTCATTCTAGACAGAAGAACATGTATGCAGGCAAGATCTTCCAGGTGTCAAAGTGGAAGATCTTTCTCACATATGGGTCATGTTTCCTCCACACACAACTGTATGAACACTTGTATGTGGTCAATTTCTATTGGGAGAGCAATGAGTCTCCAGGCAGGAATGTAAGACCTGCACATGGCCAAAGTCAAGCGTGTGTTTAAGTACTTTGCTGGATCAGAGCAACAGTGCTCAGCCCCATGTAGGACTGAGTGCCTTATGAGTTTTGCAGGACCAAACTGATTAACTGGAGTTTAGACAATCAAAGTTTGATTATTATTCCAATGAAAACTCTACCTATGATATGACAGAAAACTTATTAAAGCCTTCAAAGTTGCAGTTTAATAATTTAATTTGATGTTATACCAACCTCGTTAGCAGATGCCAAATATATGTAGTTACTATCCATTGGGTCAAGGGCAAGTTTGGGAAAAACTGGTGTTTCTTCTTCTATTTCATGTAAAATTTCAGGGCAATTCGGTTTCAGATTCTTGTTAAGAATAACCTAAAAATGTGAAATATAAAATTAGTCACAAATCCCTTTATCAAGGGAACAGATTTAATGATAAATCTTTTTCCTGTCCTATTAACAGAGTGGAGGGCAAAAAGTGCCGCAATATGAGCTAAAGCCCAAAGTGTAGTCAAGGTTTATGCCTATATTTTCCTCTTAGAAGACAAGAGTTCATGTCATACTTCACATAGTGGAAGAGATAAGGGATCTGTCCTTTAAATCCAAGTTCTCAGAGACACAAAGACCCTCTGCCTTCATACTATTGGGTTCCTGCAGCTCCTTCATGCTGCAGCTCCTGTAGTACATGTGTTAAAAGGAACTTGCTCCCCTGACCTCTCCTTTAATCAGGAATCCCCCTTGTGGTAAAGTTTCATAACATTTAAAAGGTTTCCTTTTTATGTTATTACCCATTGCCTCAAAACAGGAGCTATTTTGCCTTCTGGCATTTGGGAGTATGCTTGCGAGTTGCTATTCCCCTTTTCTGGCTCACTCAACTCATATCCACAGCTTCTCACTCCCCTTTTACGTTAAGCAGCACACTAGCATCAATACAGACTTTGCCTTGAAAGCTAAACAACCCAGACGGGTTTGTGGTCTCTGCTGTGCTAAAGACACATGTAAGCCTTCAGTTGTATACCTTTATTGTTGTAAGTATATTGCAATCAAACAAGAAAAAGATTTTCATGTTGTATTCTATCCATTCCAGCTGCCTGCTTAATAAAAACAAAATAGTCACCCTTTGCAGTGTAGACAGGAAATGCACACGCTTGCATTCAAGAACAAAATTCAAAAGATGTTAACTTGAATGCTTCGAAGTCTGATAATGAGATAAGGTTATTTTCACTTCTAGGTTACTCATTCAAACAGCAGAATCCTAATCAGCAGCACTGATGAAACAATCCTTATGTCTTAGTCTCTAATGGACAGATATTTACAACACATGGCAAAGAGTTTAAAGACAGAAATGTAACAGCATTTGGTCTCCACTGGGAAAAAATACATTAAATCAACTATGCTACAATATTAAATTAAGGATTATAAGTAATATCCAGCGAATGCATACCTTTGTGGATTTTAAGAAGCTTCTTCTGAATATTACTTTGTTCTCTATGTAACCTTATTTGCTCATTTGAGTTTTAGACAGTTGCAACAGTTTATTTTAAAACAAATAGAAGAGAGCTGTCCAGGTGACAACATTAGGTTGCAATACAACGCATGAAATATAACACAGGAAACATTCTCTCATTAAAGTGCTATTAAAAAATACCACATTTCACCAACCTTCAGTAACTGTCCATTACTTGTTCCCAAGAACAAAACTATCTTGTTCAAAACGACAGTAGCATAAACAGCTGATAAATCGGAGTGAATCAAGGTCGGTGACTTTTTCACTGTCGGCACAGTTTCCTAAAAAAATCAGACACAAAAGAAAAACCATGATAAAATTCTTCAACCATACTGCAAAATGTACTTAAAAACAAAGGAATATTCCTTAGAAAGCTGTGGAATTTCCTTCCTTCTACTTTTGGTGATGCTGCTATTCCAATACCCTTCCTTCTACTTTTGGTGATGCTGCTATTCTTAACAGTCTTTTAATATAACATAATCTTGGAAATGTGGACAGAATCAGAGAATCACAGAAAATTAGGGTTGAAAGGACCTCAGGAGGTCACCTAGTCCAACCCCCTGCTCAAAGCAGGATCAGCCCCAACTAGATCATTCCAGCCAGTGCTTTGTCAAGCCAGGCCTTAAAAAACCTCCAAGGATGGTTTCATCAACTCTCAAAGGAACCTGTTCCAGTGCTGCACCACCCTCCTAATGAGGAAGTTTTTCCTAATATCCAACTTAAACCTCCATTGCTGAGAACATTGCTCTTTATTCCGTCATCTGCCACCATTGACAGCAGTCTCATTCCATCCTCTTTGGAACCCCCCTTCACGTAGTTAAAGGCTGTTAATAAATCCCCCCTCAGATTTCTCTTCTGCAGACTAAATAAGCCCAGTTCCCTCAGCCTCTCTTCATAAGTCATGTGCCCCAGTTCCCGAACCATTTTTGTTGCTTTCTGCTGAACTCTCCAACTTGTCCACATCCTTTCTATAGTGGGGAGTTCAAACCTGGACACAGTACTCCTATTCCAGTTGTGGCCTCACCAGAAAGATGTGGCCATCTTCTTGTAATATAGCAGGGCTATAAACTATTACAAGAATAGTAATTCTTGTAGGTTTTCAACCTATTTGGGTCAGTGTACCCCTTGTGGCCAGATGCGGAGCAGTGTACCCCTGGCAGCTGGACACAGAGCTGGGAAGCGGGGGTGGCACAAAGCCACATGTGGGGGTGGGGGTGGCGCACGGCCAGATGCGGAGCAGCGGCAGCCACCGTGTGACAGTTTTCCCTGCCCCCTACATCCAGTCAGGTCAGTGATGCCTGCACACAAGTGCAGGATGGTACGTGGAAGCACTCCATCCCCGCCCACCCATGCATACCCCCTAGAGCCATCTCAAGTACCCCCCGGGGTACGCATACCCCCAGTTGACAACCCCTGATCTATAGACCCATCCTGGGCCTCTCTCGTGTCCACCGTGGTTTTAGTCATTGGTTTCAATGGGAAGAGGACTGGCCTACTGTGAAATATTCTATATGTTAATTTGCCATAAAATGCGTTCCTTTTAATGCAAATGTTAGTACTAAATAATCACTAACCTAAATGGACAGAAGGGAGGAATAGGCTGCAATCAGACCTAGACAGGTTACAGGGGTGGGGGGATGAGAACAGGATGGGTTTCAACACTGACAAGTGCAGGGTACTGCACCTGGGGAGGAAGAACCAGCAGCACACCTACAGGCTGGGGAACTCCCTTCTCATCAGTGCAGAGACAGAAAAAGATCTTGGAGTCATTATTGATGCCAAAATGAACATGGGCCGACAGTGTGGGGACACAGTTAAGAAGGCCAACTATACCTTGTCATGCATCCATAGATGCATCTCAAGCAGGTCCAAGGAGGTGATCCTCCCCCTCTATGCGACACTGGTCAGGCCACAGTTGGAGTACTGCGTCCAGTTCCGGGCGCCGCACTTCAGGAGGGATGTGGACAACATGGAGAGGGTCCAGAGGAGGGCCACCCACATGATTAGGAGTCAGCAGGGCAGGCCCTATGAGGAGAGGCTAAGGGACCTGAACCTGCTCACCTTCCACAAGAGAAGGCTAAGGGGGGATCTAGTGGCCGTTTACAAACTAGTCATGGGGGACCAACAGGCCTTGGGGGAGTCCCTGTTCCCCCAAGCCCTACCAGGAGAGACAAGAAATAACGGTCACAAGCTGGCAGAGGGTAGATTTAGACTAGATATCAGGAGGCGCTACTTCACTGTCAGGGGGGCTAGGATCTGGAACCAACTTCCAAGAGAAGTGGTGCTGGCTCCTACCCTGGGGGGCTTTACGAGGAGGCTGGATGAACACCTTGCCGGGGTCGTTTGACCCCAGTACTCTTTCCTGCCCATGGCAGGGGGTCGGACTTGATGATCTGCTCAGGTCCCTTCCAACCCTACCAACTATGAAACTATGAGACAGGGAAAAGAAGGCTCCAGGACTGCATTGCTATTTGTTCCTTCAAACACTAGATATGAAACCTGTTACTGAGTCTATGCCTTTGGCCACTGGTATACATGCCCACTCTTGCTGTATACTGGGAAGCTGACCTGCTGTTTTTAAATCTATAATGTCTAGATCTGTTATAAACTGCTGGTTTTTATTCTAAGCAACCTGTCATATGGCCCTCAAGTGTGTCACACACACTACTGAACCCTGATTCATCCTGAAGTATGTTCAAAAGTCCTGATTAACACCTACAGCTACCCCATGTATAGCGAGTGTAGTTTCAAACAAATACATTTTGTGTTCTTTTTTTCTTGTCAGAAAGTGCAGTGCTTTACCCTTCCTTTTTTGATTTCCTGCTTTACAATTAAGGAAGCTGAGACTTATATTGCCTACCACTAGAATACAAAAACTAGAAAAGGTACCCTGCTATTTGTGATAGGGTTAAATATAGTATTAGTAAAAACAGCATTAAAGATAGCTTATTCCCTTCTTTTTCTCTACATCCTTACTCCATTATGATAAAATTCAAGTTTTAAGGGATCTATTTAATTTAGATCTGATAAAAATAACTATAATGTATTAGAAAAATGCTTTAATCAAAATTATCATATTAGCAAACTGCTCTAATGCCAATGTAAGAGTTACACTACGATGACTGAAATGAGTGTTTGGCTCAAAGTCAATACCAAATTGATCACCCAGGTACATCCATTTAGAAGCTGCAATACCCTCAATATTAGATTTGTGATACAAATATACAGGGGCAGGCACACAGGAATCCCACAGGAACCAGAGAGAAAATTGGGCACCTCAGCTCCCTGCACAAGGTATCAGGAGAGTTGGGCACTTCAAATGGAGACTCAAAGCAAAAAGTCACCTAGAGCAGCCAATAGAAAGTGCTGAACACTATAGTGTTTCTGAATCCCCACCCCACTCCAGAGCTTAGCACCTGACTCAGGGCTGTATCTCCATTCAGCCAGGATTGAGAATGCCTAGTCTCTCTTTAGAGGGTAGGCAGCTGATTAATCATTGGCAACAGTAGCCTCACCCAATTTTTGCATGATTGCCTTGTTTCCTAATTCCACTTGCCCTGGAGGTTGGAGACCTCAGCTTGAGTGGATTGAACTCCACATATATCCTTTCTCCCATGATATGGCTCTAACCATAAAGTCTATAAACTAGTTTGGGTGAAAGGCAGGGAACCCCTCCACTGCCCCACTTCTGTTGAAGCTGGACCAATGGACAGAAAGGAAAGCAAGAGATGGGGCCACAAGGAGAACAAGCAAAAGAACCTAATTCTGTAGCCCACTGATGAAGACACACACACATTTCACATTGATTAGAAAACAGAAATAACTCGAGGTCAAAGCCTATAACCCAGGTCTCCCAACTCTCAGCAGAGTGCCCTAAAACTAGAGTACAGTCACACTTCCTGTTGCTTACACTCCTGGTCCCACCACTGCTGCATTCCTGTCTGCCCAATACTCAACTTCAACAGGAAACATGAGACTACTCCCCATCCAGATTGTTCTATATCCTGGTGTTTGGGGCATTCTCCGGGGATGTGGGAAAAGTGGCTCTCAATCCCACCGTGCTATACTGGCCTAGAATCCGAGTCTCCAACCCCCTGAGTGAATGCTGTAGCAACTAAATTCACACACAACTGTTTGGTGGCAGTGGCACTTCCACCAACCATTCTTTCGAGCTAAAGTAACTGTGGCAACTGAGCTCTGTGCCAAACAGTGCTGTTGGTGTGAAGTAAGTATGCTCAAAGGATGTCTAATGGCTGTCTTTTGGGGAACACAGGCAGTTTAGCTACTGCCCCACTACCATTCTAGATGACAAATGAGTTTTGCTAGGAGTTAGGCTCCTAGGGCTCTTACACATATGCGGAGAGACTGCTCCAATGTGCTGGAAATCCTGTGCATCACAGTAGACTCGATTAATTGAGTCTACTGGAGCGCACAAATTGATGAGCTCTGGCAGCCTCATGCATTATGTGCATCAGCGGCGCAGTACATCTCCATGCTGAGAAAATGGCAGTAGGGCGCTTTGAAATAAAACACGTTCAATGTGCTTTAGTTCCAAGCACCCCACTGCCATTTTCTCAGCGTGGGGATGTGCTGCGCCACCGATGCACGTGACACGCAGACACTTTTAATTAGTGCAGCTCAATAATTAAAAGCACCTGGCGTCGCATTGAGATCACGTGTAAAAATGCCCCTAGGTGCCCAGATTAGATCACTTTTGTGTATATGCCTAGGGAACTTTGCAACCCAAAATGTAGGTGCCTCCTGAGTTTTGAGGCTGCTGGAGTGGGGTCATTCTGGAACGCTGTTTGGAATGTAGGTGCATTAGGAGATTCTCTTTATATCAGGCAAACAATATGCAATCTATTATTAGCTGTAATATATAATATATGCCGTAATATATAACTGAACTATAATACAGTCCAGAGATGCTAGTCAAGAACGAAAGCTCTCCTGTACTCAGTGTTGTAGAACCACCTGGTAAGAGACATTCTTTCCCCCAATTTCTTACAAGCTAAACAGCTTGCAGGTCCAGTGCTTACTTGCAGGTGGATTCCTGATGTGAATGGAGCCTTATCACAAATCTAACTAGAGCCACTGGAATACTTGGGCACATCTTGGTCAGGCAAAGAAAGGGTAAATGGAAGCAGTAAGACCCCATCATACAGAAAAGTTAAGTGACCTCCCATGTTCCCACACCAAACCTGTGACACAGCTAGCAACTGAGCTCAGATCTCCTGGGTCCAAGTCCAATGATTTACCACGAAACCATCTGCCTACAAAA